AGTGCCCGCTGGGACGTGTCCGGCGGTCAGCGCCAACCGCGGCTGCGTCGGTCGCGCCAAAGTAGCCGCCCGCTGCGCGCGCGCGCGCGGGCTGCCGCGGCGGCTGCCAGCGCCGAGCACCCATCGCAATATCCGCCGCATGGGGTTTGCACGCCAAGTCGCGCGCGGGCGGGGGGGGTGCCTGCGCGAGCAGGAGCGGGCAAGTTCAAGTTGACCACTGGTGGATTGCACCATATAGACCCCCCTTTCTTACGAGAGAATAAACTTCACCACCACCCCCGACGCCGAACTTATCAGCCCCACCATGGGGGCGCGCAATGCACGCGCGATTCTGCCCCATCGCCCACCATGAACGCGGAGCTGACGGAAAAAGTGAAAGCGCTCCAAATTTTCTCAACGCTCGCGGATCACTGCCCGCGCCTTCGCGCTTCAGTTGCCGAATTGCGCCGCGCATGTCATCGCGCAAATTCCTCGGTGATTTTAACTCTGATCCTGCTCTGCCTGCAAAATCAGATCTGAATTCTCACGCGTAGTGATTGACCGTTCTTAGTGCTTGTCATCATCGTTAATCGCACTTATGCAAAAGATGTCGTCGCATTCTTCTGTATTACGTGCATGCACCATTAACAATGAAAATGGAACACATGATCTCAATCGGCTACTTAAAAATGGCCCCATTCAAGAGAAACACGCTAAATTCATCCCGGCCCAGCAGGCATCGGCCCCCCGCGCGCATGCACCGTCAACAATAAAATGAAACGCGTGATCTCAATCGACTACTAAAAAATGGCCCCTTCAAGAGAAACACGCTAAATTCACCCCGGCCCAGCCGGCACCGGGCCCCCACCGCCCTCTGCAAGAGGGGGAAGAAGAAGAAGAGGAAGAAAGAGAGAAAGAATAAGGGGCGGGGGGGGGACAGAGAGAGAGAGAGAGGGAGATAGAGAGAGAGGGGCAACGCGGAGTAATCTCGCGCGCGCTCTTGCAAATTCCGATGGCAAAAAAAAAAAAAAAAAAAAAAAAAAAAAAAAAAAAACACGCACGCACGCGCGCGCGCACACACGCACACACACACACACACACACACACATCGGTATTCCATCATGTAAGATCCGACCAAACGGGCTTCACGCGCGCACATAGAAATCGTTCGAACGCCCTCGCGCGCGCGCCGTCGCGAGAATCCCTTGCCCAAAACAGATCGAAGTGCACGCGCGCGCGCCCCCTCGCGCCGCGCGCCGACATCATTCGCACGCCCTCGCGCGCGTGCTGATGGGACACGATCCGCGTCGAACAACGCCACGCAGGCCGCTCTCGCGCGTCGGCCGCGCGCACACGTCGAACTCCTTACAGCACCTTTCATCACCGACGCGAAATCGCCGCCATCATCGCCGGCGTGACCAGCATCCGCGCCGCGACTGGCCGCCCCGCCGTCGCTGTCAACATCGCCACCAGCGTCGCTGCTATCATCGCGTCGACCTGCGTCGACGTTGCCATGATACCGCGCCCGCCCATTTCGTCGACTCCCATTGAAATGTCTGCTGGGATGTCCCCAAACGGTCAGCGCCACCGCGTTCGCGTCGGTCACTCCAAAATAGCTGGCCGCTGCGCGCGGCGCATGCGCGGGCTACCGCGGCCGCGGAAATTCACCAGCCAACACCAAGCACTTGGCGTCGACTTGACGGTTCAAGGCTCGCCGTCGCCGCCCCGCCCCCGCCTCGTCACCACCCGGCGTCTGGGCCTGGGTGTCACTCTGGCGGTTCCGTGTTCGCCATCGCCGCCCCGTCGCCGCCTGGTCGTCGCCCGTCGTCTGGGCTTGGGCGTGGGTCTGGCGGCTCAATGTTCACCGTCGCCGCCCCGTCGCCGCATCGCCGCCGCCAAGCGTCGGGGCTTGGGCGTCGGTCTGGCGGCTCGTGTTCGTCGTCGCCGCCCCGTCGCCGCCCGTCGTCTAGGCATGGGCGTCGGTCTGGGCGTTCCATTTTCGCCGTCGCCGCCCCGTCGCCGCCTCCTCGTCGCCCGTCGTTTGGGCCTGGGTGTCAGTCTAGCGGCAAAGTGCTCGCCGTCGCCGCCCCGTCGCCGCCCCGTCGCCGCCCCGTCGCCACCGATATTCTCCTTTCTTTAAAAAGATTGAAATCGACCCCCCCGGGATTATCACTCCCCTTTTTCGTAGTGCAATGTACATTTGATTCTGCCCCAATGTCCACCCTAAACATGAATTCGTACCATATTAGTCAAGACGGTATCGCCCCCCCCCCCTCCTTTCTAAAAATAGTATGCGCGCACACGCGCTTGTCAAAACTCACAAATGTTCAAGAAACCCTTACAACAAATGAAACGAAGTTCACACGCGCGCATCGTCGCGCGAGCATGCCGAAATGTTTCAAAATTTTTCGGCGTCGCAAGGATTTCAAAATCTTGCTTCAACAAAAACACAAACAACGACAACAACAAACAAAAAAAAAAAAACGCGACACTGGTTATTCATTATAACAAAGATTATTAATATAAAAGAAGAAAGGGAGAGAAACAAAAAAACAACAACAAAAACTTGCGCGGGCGTCCTTGGGAATTCTTAAGAAAACCATTGGTTATCCAACATGTCCGCGAAATGCTCCCAAATGGGCGCCGCGCGCGCGCAAGTCGAAGTCGTTCGAAAACCCTTGTGCGCGCGCCGTCGCGATCGTTAAAACGAAACGCACGCGCGCGAATCATCGGGTGCACATGCCGGAATCCGTCAAAAACCTGCGGCTTCGTAGTGATGACAAAACCAAGTGCCAAAAACACATACACAAACACAGGGTGTGGCAACAACAATTTTCCCCAACAGCAAAAAATCAAACCAACAAATGCGGTCGCGCTCTTGCGAATTCTTGAAGAAACCGACGGTTTTGTTTTCAACATGTTCATGGAATCCTGCCAAATGGGCCTCCCGCGCCGCATGCCGACATCATTCGCACGCCCTCGCGCGCGTGCTGGGGGGGGGGCACGATCCGTGGCAAGTAATACCATGCGGGCCACTCTCGCGCGTCGGTCGCGCGCGCATGTCGAACCTTTTCCAAAACCTTCATCACAAACGCAACGACACCGTCGTCGTCGTCGTCGTCGTCGTCGTCGTCGGCGTGATCAGCATCGGCGCCCGCAATGGCCGCGCCTGCGTCGTTGTCAACATCGACACCAGCACCGCTACTATGATCATCGTGTCTACCGTTGCCGACGTTGCCATGATACCGCGCCCGCGCAAGTGGCCGACTCGCAGCGAAGTGCCCGCTGGGATGTGCCCAGCTGTCAACGCCACCGCGGCTGCGTCGGCCGCGCCAAAGTAGTTGGCCGCTGCGCGCGCGCATGCGCGGGCTGTCGCGGCCGCGAAGATTGACCAGCCAGCGCCGAGCACTCATGGCAATCGCCGCCGCATGGGGTTTGAAAACCAAGTTGCGGGTGGGTGGGTGGGATGTTTGCGCGAGCAGTGGAGAGGACAACTTCAAGCTGAGCATTGATGAACTACACATCATAGCTGCTATAGCTTGCACAACATAGATCGCACAACAGATTCCACCGCATACATTGCACCACGTGGAGTCGAGTGGTTGCTCCACAGCGATCGCTCAGCATAGATTGCACCTCGTCGATTGCACCACGCCGATTGCACCACTTAGGTTCACAACGTAGACTGCACCACACAAATTGCACAAGCTAGATTGCTCCACAAAGGTTGCACAGCATTTGTTGCACAACAGTGGTTGCACCACCTAGGTTGCACCACGCCGAGTGCACCGCATATGTTGCACATTACATACTGCTAGAAACACAATGTTTGGGGTTCACGCTTGTTAACAGTATGGATAGTAACATCCTTATTCCCGATCAGAATCACCATCACCCATAGCATCATCAGCATCATCAGCATCAGCATCGTCATCAGTATTATCAGCATCAGCAGCACCAGCATCTTCCCCATCTTTCATCAGCAGCAGCATCGCCAAGAACAGCATCATCCTCATCAGCAGCAGCAGCGTCATCATCAGCATCATCATCAGCAGCAGCAGCAACATCATCAGCAGCATCATCAGCAGCAGCATCATCATTATCACCATCAGCAGCAACAGCAGCAACGTGATCAGCAACAGCATCATCAGCAGCATCATCAACAACATCATCAGCATCACCAAAATCTCCATCATCATCATCCTCATCATCATCACCAGCAGCGTCAGCATCCGCATAATAATCAGAATCACCATCATCATCGTCATCATCAGCAGCATCATCATCAAGAACAGCATCATCATGCTTATTAACATCATTAGCATCACCAGCCTCATCACTGTCATCAACATCATCATCAGCATCTTCATCATCATCAGCAACATCAGCATCGTCATCACCATCGTCATCGTCAGCGCCATCGTCATCGTCATCGTGGCGTTATCGTCATCATCGTCAGTATCACCATCACCATCAGTATCATCATCATCAGCATCATCGTAAGTGGCATCATCAACCACATCATCAGCATCACCATACTCACCATCATCATCATCCCCTCCTCATCATCAGCATCATCATCATCATCATCATCATCATCATCATCATCATCATCATCCTGCTGCTGCCCTCGTTTCCTCCTATTCCGCCTCCTCATCATCATCCTCCTCCTCCCATTCCTACTCCTCCTCCTGCTCCTCTTCCTCCTCCTCTTCCTCTTCCCAATGGGAGCCCGCCAGGCGACTTCCGTCCCAGGGCGGCTTACGCCCTGGCGGCTTCCCCCGCCTTGGGCCCGCGCACGGGCCGCGCTCTGCGCCGCAAAAACCTGGGCCGCCACGGGGCCGAGTCTGCGCGCCCGCCACGGCGCCCCCGGCGGCGGCGGCGGTATCGGCGGCCCCCTCGGCTGCGACGGCGGTCACTTCGGGCGACCTGCGGCGGTCCCTGCAGCGGAGGCTCCGGCGGCCGCTGCAATCTGGGGGCGGCGGAGGCCAGCGGCGGGGGGCGGCGAGGGGGCCGCCCTCCTCGAAGACGCACGGCACCGACGAGCTGTGGCACGACACCTCCGCGCTCGCCCCCTCTACGTACTTCGTTTTCTTCCTCCACCTCCCCCTCCTCCTCCTCCTCCTCCTCCCTCCTCTCCTCCTCCTCCTCCAACTCCTGCTCCTCCTCCTGCTCCTCCTCATCCTCCTCCTCCTCCTCCTCCTCCTCCAACTCCTCCTCCTCCAGCTCCTCCTCCTTCTCCCCCTCCTCCTATTCCTCCTCCTCATCCTCCTCTTCCTCATCCTCATCCTCATCCTCTCCTCATCCTCATCCTCATCCTCAGCCTCAGCCTCATCCTCATCCTCATCCTCATCCTCCTCCCCTCCTCCTCCTCCTCCTCCTCCTCATCATCATCATCATCATCATCATCATCAGCCTCAGCATCAGCATCAGCATCAGCATCATCATCATCATCATCACCACCACCACCACCACCACCACCATCATCATCATCATCATCATCAGCAGCAGCAGCAGCAGCAGCATCATCATCATCATCATCATCATCGTCATCATCATCATCATCATCATCAGCATCATCATCATCATTATCCTACCCCTCCCCTCCTCCTTGTCATCATGTTCCTCCTCCTCCTTCTCCTCCTACTCATTATCCGTCTCCTCTTCCTCTTCTTCTTCTTGTTTATCTTATTCCTTTTCCAACTCCCTCCTCCTCCTCTTCCTCCCCCTCCTCCTGATCCGCATCATCATCCTTATCCTCATCCCCATCCTCATCGCCATATGCCTCCTCATCATTCTTATCCTCCTTCTTGTCATCCTCCTCCCCATCATTATCAACATCATCATCAGCATCATCACCATCATCATCATCATCAGAAGCAGCCTCAGTACTGTCATCGCCATTGCCATCAATATCATCATCACCCTCATCATCATCATCATCATCGCAATCAACATCAACAGCATCATCATCGGCATCAGTATCATCAGCATCATCATCATAATCATCATCAGCAGCACAAGCAGAATCATCATCAGCATCAGCATCGTCATCACCAGCACCAGCATCTTTACCAGCATAATCGGCACCACCATCATCATTAACAACCAAATCACCATCATCAGCATCACCATCACCATCATCGTCAACATAATTTCCATCACCATCACCATCATCGACATCATCATCATCATCATCATCATCATCATCATCATCAGCAGCAGCACCGCCCTCATCGTCGCCTTTGTTATCATAGTTGTCATAAGCATCAGCATCATCAGCATCATGATCAGCATCACCGTCGTCGTCATTGACATAGTCATCAGCAAAGGCGTCATCAGCATCATCATCTCCATCAACAGCCGCATCAGGAGCAGCGTCATCAGCATCACCGATGCCATCAGCATCAGCATCATCATCAGCATCATCATCGCCATCATCATTGTCATCGAAAATAACATCAAGATCATCAGCATCATCAGCGCAACCATCATCATCACCACCATCAGCATCATCATCACCAGCACCATAGTCGTTATCATCATAATCACCACCACCATCATCATCATCAACAACCACAGCATCCACGTCACCAATCACCAGCACGAGCATCATCATAATCGCCACCATCATTGTCATCACCGTGATTATGATCATAGTCATCATCATCATCAGCGTCATAGTATCATCATGCACCATCAGTTGCCACCACCACCACCATCATCACCATCGTCATCATTATCGTCATCATCGTCGTCATCATCACCATCATCTTAATAATCGTCATCATCCTCATCACCACCACCACCACCACCATCATCATCATCATCATCATCACCATCATCATCATCATCATCATCATCATCATCATCATCATCATCATCATCATCGCCATCGTCGTCATCATGATCACCATCATCTTCATCTGCATAATCATCATCATCACCATCGTCCACAAGATGAAGCATCTGTTGAGTTCCCGCCCCCCCCCGTCCCCCCCTGCCCCCGCAACTCCTCGTCGTGCCTCCCCCCCGTGCCATCAGCGTTATTCATATTCCTCACTCATCCTTCCCTCCTCGACCCTCCTTCCTCCTCCTCCTCCTCCTCCTCCCTCCTCCCTCCTCCTCCTCCGCCTCATCCTCCCCATCATCCCTCATACGCTAAATACGATGAACCTGCCTTGTCCTCCTCGTCCGTCTCTCTCCTTGGTTTCCCCTGCCGCTGTCCCTCGTCATTCGTACTTTCCTCTTCCTGATCTTCCTTCTCCTCCACCCTCGCCTCCCCTCCTCCTCCTCCCTCTCCTCCTCCATCCCTCTTCCTAATCAGAGTGAGGGGGCCGAACGGTCATTCACTGTCCCTGGGCGCGTGGCTGCAAGGAGGTTCTGAGGTGCGGACTGCTGTTGTTGTTATTGTTGCTGCTGCTGTTGCTGCTGGTGATGGTGGTGCTGTTGGTGGTGGTGTTCTTGTTGGTGTTGTTGCTGTTGCTGCTGTTGTTGGTGGTTGGTTGTCGTCGTCCCCCCCACAACCTGGCCCGCGACCGGGCCCGCGACCCACCCGCGATCCACCCGCGATCCACCCCGCAACCCACACGCAACCCACCCCGCGACCCACCCGCGACCCAGCCCGCGACCCACCCCGCGACCCGCCCGCGACCCACCCGCGACCCACACGCGACCCCCCCCGCGACGCACCCGCGACCCAGCCCGCGACCCGGCCCGCGACCCGCCCGCGACCCACCCACATTTCGTTAACGAAAAAATCTGCGCCTGCGGGGGGCTCACATGTCAAAGGTGGGCGCCTGCGGCGGGCTTCTTCAGAGCCTCAACGACGGTCAACGCCCTCGCTGCCCCCTCCCTTTGATCCGCCACTGCGGGATGCGAGATGAATCACTCCTCCCTGTCGCACCCCGAGACGGGTCGATAGGGCGGGCTGGGCGCTTCGCGTGAGCCTTCCTTTTTGGACACCCGAAATGGGTACGGAAAGAATGGGTACAATGCCCAACAACAAATGTTATCCCAAACCAACAGCGGCCGCTGTTGGGCAGGCGGCCTTCTGCCTCGAATGGACACAGGCCGCGGCGGCGTGGACAGCGAGCCCTGTTCAAAATGAAACAGATCCGCTGTTGGGCATTGTACCCGTTCTTTCCGTGCCCATTTCGCGTGCAGAGAAGGAGGAGGCGGAGGAGGAGGAGGGGGAGAAGGGGGAAGAGGAGGAGGAGGAGGAGGGGGGGGGGGAGGAGGAGGAGGAGGAGAGGAGGAGGAGAGGAGGAGGGAGGAGGAGGAGGAGGAGGAGGAGGAGGAGGAGGAGGAGGAAGGGAGGAGGAGAAGGAGGAGGAGGAGGACGAGGACGAGGAGGAGGAGGAGGAGTCTGCGATGAGGATGAGGATGAGGAGGAGGAGGAGGAGGGGAGGATGAGGAGTTTCGTTCGTGCAGATTCCGCACCGTGTGTGATGCTGCAGCTTGAAAACTGCAACGGCTTCGCGGACGGAGGGCGGATCGCTTCCAGAATGCGGCCCTCGCCCCCGCGCCGCGCGCACGCGTCGTCGGAGTGTGCCAGAGAGTCTCAGGGGTGGAGGCCCGGTCGCTCTCAGAGCGTGGCTCTCGCCAAAGCAGCGCACCAATTTCGCCTTAAAGTTCGCAAAGAGTCTCAAGGATGGAGGGCGGGTGATTGTCAAGACGTGGCTCTCGCCCTCGCGCCGCGCACGTTCGTTTTGAGAGTCTGCAAGAATTTGACGGATGGAGGGCGGCTCCTCATCAAAGTGTGGCTCTCGCCTTCGCGCCGCGCACACTTGCCTTTCAAAAGCCGATGACAGTTTCAAAGACTATCATGGCTGGCGTCTTAGACATGGTGTGCTGGCACGAAAAAGGATTGTCAGGGCGCGACAGTCACATTGATTTGCGGTGTTGACGTCCCAGAAATGGCTTTCTGGCACGATTCAGGAGCATCAGGTCGCAACAAGAACGCTGATTCGCGGCATTAGAATCCCAGGAACGGTGCTCTGGCACGGTTGAAGAGTTTCAGGCGGTTGTCTTCCAACGGGGCTCTTCCCGCAGTGAAAACGACTCCTAATTAGGAGCCTATGAAGAGGGAACTTGGAGGGAGGGTTGATTGCAACATCGTTGATGAGTTTTGGGTTTGCACTGCTCCTCCTCATCCTCCTCCTCATCCTCCTCCTCCTCCTCCTCCTCCTCCTCCTCTGTCTCTTCCTCCTACTCCTCTTCGCTCCTCCTTGCTGCCCCTCGCTCATGTGTTGATCCTCCTCCTCCTTCTCCATATGATCGTCGTCCTTTGTCCCTCACCCTGCCTCCCACTCCCTCTCCCTCCAGCAGGAGCACTACGAGCGGAAGGACCGAGGCATTGATGCTACCAGCGTAAGGGAGTTCGGAGCAAATGCGTGCACGTCCCATCGAGCTTCAACTGCAAAGGCCCTGGCCTCCAGAGACCTCCAGAACACAGGAAGGATCAGAGGGGTTCGGCTCGACGCTCTGGTGCCCCAAGTGAGGGTCCCATCCCTTTCCACGGGACCTCATGCTCGACCACCTCCTCCTCCTCCTCCCTCCTCCCTCCTCCCTCCTCCCTCCCCTCCT